AGGTACCGGGGACCCATGTCCGGTGCCGTAAGGGCCACTGATAACTGCGGCACCGGGGGACCCAGACCCGGTGCGGTGAACTCTGCTGAAGCAGTCAACTGTGGCACCGGGGTGCCCAGGCCCGGTACCGGCTGCCCCGTCAGAACCTGCGGCACCGGGGTACCCAAGCCCGGTGCCGTTTGTGACGTCATTTGCTGCACCAAGGTGCTCAGGCTCGGTGCCAGCTGCACCGTTTGTGGTACTGGGGTGCCTAGGCCCGGTGCCGGCTGCGTTGCCAGTAACTGCGGCACCGAGGTGCTCAGGCTCAGTGTCGGTTACGATGCCTGGCCGGCTGCCCCGTCAGAACCTGCGGCACCGGGGTACCCAAGCCCGGTGCCGTTTGTGACGTCATTTGCTGCACCAAGGTGCTCAGGCTCGGTGCCAGCTGCACCGTTTGTGGTACTGGGGTGCCTAGGCCCGGTGCCGGCTGCGTTGCCAGTAACTGCGGCACCGAGGTGCTCAGGCTCAGTGTCGGTTACGATGCCTGGAGTTGCGGCACCGGGGTGCCTAGGCCCGGTGCTGGGTGTGCCGCGTGCAGCTGCGGTACCGGGGTGCCCAGGCCCGGTGCCGGTTGTGCCGACTGAAGCTGCGGCATCGGGGTGCTCAGGCCCGGTTTCACTAGACCCCCTCGGTGCCTACGGTGCACCGGAGGGGAAACACGCACCGGTGAACTGCCAGTGCGGTGTCCAGCCGACGTCGGCTTCTTAGACGGAGACCTGCCCCGGGACTTCTTCACCTTCTTAGATGGTGGAGAGTGAGACTGGTGCCGGGATCTTGACGACGATGCCCGGTGCGGTAAGAAGGAACTGAGGTGGGGCAGCACCGGCAGGGGTACTTATGCCCTGCCATGGCAGCGCCACTCCAGGGGGCCCCCCGCCGGTGCTACGGGTACCGCTAGGGAAAACGCTCTGGAAGACGTGGTGCACACGGCGCGCACACCTACTTTGAATGGACATGAGCAACCACTCGAAGAAGAAGTGTTTTTTGGTGCCTCAGTTTTTGGGTGCCCAATTAGAGACAGCTGATTTTCTGAAAGTATTCAGCACTCATCTTCTGAAACACCAGCCTCTTTGCGCTATCCCAAATTGGGCAACCAAAATAATTAGTCACTTAAAATGGAGGCCAGGGACTCTATAATTTAGCATTTAAAAAAATCAGCTCCTGGATCTCTTCAGACAAGATGATTGTGGGGTTTTTAGAACATGAAAGGTCAAAGCAGTCTTTCCTGAGATAACTCTCTGTGGGGCTTTTCTGAGATAAACTGCCATTCGATTCTATTTTGGCTCCTAAAAAAGAAAGCATCCACTCCCCCAAAAAGTTATTTTTATACATCCAGTAAAATAAACAGCAGTGATTATGAGATTCGTGCATTATGTGACAAGAAAGCCTCCAACCAGGCGCTAGAACAAATTGTATAGTGGAGGAGCTGAGAATCACTGAACCAAACCATAAAACCTTGTATATAATGGGAATACGTTCAAACCAGGGGTGCCTATCGCCCTCAGTTCCCACACTTATGCCTCCAACATAAGACAGCTGCACTGGGGATAGAAAAAGTTTTTGTCAGGAAAAAAACATTAAAGGCGTCATCTTGACACGAGAAAATTGTGACCAGATTATGCAATAGGAGGCGGTCAACTCACACTCGTTCTCCGGCCCCCACCTCAAGAAAAGATCATCCAAAAGTAAGATGGCAAAGAATGAGACTTGCCAAGTTAGAGTCATCTTCCTCTCTGTTACTAACATGAACCATTATGGAAATATCCCACTAGGCACCAAAGGCTGCATTTTGCCAGGGAAGGATAAAAAAGACATTTGCATGGATTCAGTTCTGCAGTTCAGCTGAAAACACCATGACAGGGCTTGGAGTTTTTCCTTCTCCAGGGTAAATGCAAGAACTAGACTGTAATCTACCTCCCAAGAAAACAGTAATTCCCTGGAATGAACCTACGAATTCTGCAGTGAGTACGTATAATTGCTGACACTTGAAAACAGCATGAAGTGATTTGACACAACCCCGTGTATTCCTAACATATGCATAGCAAAATTATGTATTTAGATTCCTCTTTTTCCCCACCAATGCACCACCCGCAGCTGGGGAAAGGAAAGTGAAAAGTTCAAAATCTCGGGCCAAATTTTCTTCTGTTACTCCAGGGTATGTCTATACTGCAGCGTTTTTACAGATAAAACAGCCATTTTTCTGAAATAACTTCACTTACGTCCACACTGTAATCACATTCTTTTGAAAGAAAATTGAAAGAACAGATGGGTTTTTCTGACATTGGTAAACCTCTTTCTACGAGGAAGAAGACTTTTTCCAAAAGAGCTCTTTTGGAAAAGGGCATATGTGGACAGGGAAGAGGGAGTTCTTTAGGAAGGAGAGGAATGAGGAAAATGCACAGTCTTTGGTGGCCAGTCTGTCCATAGTAATCACAGCTTAAATATGAGATAGCGTCCATTCAATGCCGACACTATCTTTCAAAAAAGCAGATCATTTTTTCTATGTGCTTTTGGAGTGTGGACGCTCTCTTTCAGAAGAAGTTTTTTCTGAAGATCACTTCCAGAAAAGCTTCTTCCGAAAGATGCCTGGAGTCTAAACATAGCCTTGGTGACACTGTACCAGAGTCCTTGTCTAGTGCAGCTCATCAAGTTTAGGCACATTAAATGCGTATGTTTTTTAAAAATGCTGGCACAGACAGGCTTTAGCATCTTTAAATCCTGAGGCAAGAATGTGCATTTGAAGGTGTTTCCCCCTGTCTGCATTAGTGCTTAGGAACAGTAGCTGAACTCTGTTGGTAACATGTTCTTTAACCAGAATCCAGTTTGCTGATCGAGAAAGAGTCTGGAGGAAACTCTAAACTTTGAAGAGATTCTGTGGGAGCCAGCAGCTAGTCCTTCAAAACACACCGAGCAAGGAAGGGACGCTGTTCACTTATGTCATGCCAGAAAGGGCTTTTAAGAAGACTGCCCTAAACAAAAGTCCATGGGAAAAGCAAGCTTGTTTACTGTTTTATATACAGGGCCTCTGGCTAAAAACATCCCTACTGCTACTGGGACACCTTCATTCTGCTTAAAAAGCATTTCTGTTTTAACTGGGCTTTAGACTGCCTCTTCCTTTTCCAGCAATCAGGACTCCATAGGGCCACACTGGACTCTCAGCAAGTGGGGGAGCGACTCCAGATTTATACCCACAGGAGAGAAACATTTGCCCTCTCCACCCCCCACTCCCAATCCCAGTCTGATTATTCCCGCCCCTTCGGTATGTTTCGGGTGGAGCTGGCGTGGGGCAGTGGGAAGAAACACTGGCCCCGTGGTGTCATCGGCAGGGCTGCCAACTTTCTAACTGCAGGAAACCGAACCCTTGGCCCCAGTTCGGAGCCCCCCTCCTGCACCGCAAGCCCCTCATCTCCAGCCCTACCCCAGAACCCACATCCCCAGCCAGAGACCTGAGGTCCCACACCTACCCCGCCCCTTCTCTGAGGCCCCGCCCCCTTCCCTCTGTCACTCCCTCTCCCCCAGCCTCCCTCCCTCCCTCATTTGCGCCTGGCTGGCACGGGGGGGGCGGGTGGAGGTGCAGGAGGGGTGGAGGCTCCATTCTGGGGTTGCAGGCCCTGAGGCAAGGCCAGAGACGAGGGGTTTGTGGTTCAGGAGGGAGTCCTGGGCGGGGGCTGACAGATTCGGGGAGCAGGAGGGGACTTAGGGCTATGGCAGGGGGTTGGGGTGCAGGAGCAGGAGAGGGCTCCAGTGGGGGTGTGGGGTGGGGCTGAGGGGGTTAGGAGTGTGGGCGGGGACACCAGGTCTGGGGTGTAGGCTCCGGACTGTGCTGACCTCGGGCGGCTCCCAGGAGGTGGCACCATGTCCCTCTGGCTTCTAGACAGAGGGCGGCCAGGTGGCTCTGTGCGCTGTCCCGGCCCGGCAGCTCCCTTTGGCCAAGGTTCCCAGCCACTAGGAACTGCAGAGCCGGCTCTCGGGGCGGGGGCAGCCAGGGGCAGCGTGTGATCATCCCTCCAGATAGCAGCCGGGGGCCATGCTGCTGCTTCCTGGGACACCACCACCCCACACTTTGGATGGCCCGGGGAGTGGTGCCGAGGGGAGTTGCTGGGGTCCCTTTTTGAGCAGGCGTGCCAGTCGAAAACTGACCCGCTGGCGACCCTAGGTACTGACCCCGTCTCCCTGTCCTAAGGAAGCCACACTGCAGGGCCCCACGGCTCAGGAGGGGGTGATACTGGGGGATAGGTGGTGCCCACAGGCCTTCGGCCCTGCTGTGGCAGGTTTGGGGGACAGGGACTGTCAAGCGCTGAGCAGCCACGCAGTAGCAGAGGGCACCTGGCTGCCATGAGGCTGTGTGGTGTGGAGGCATCAGTTCTCCAGGCAGATCTCCTGGGCTTCTGCGGGTGCCCCACGCTTCCTGCCACATTCCACAGTCCATGGATTACACCCACTGAGGAGGGTGCAAGAGGGAGGGTGATGAAATTTGCTTCCCTCCTTGGGCCGTTGCTGGAGACGTTGCTGGAGACGGCAGGCCTGCTCATCTCCCCGGCGCCTGTGCAGCAAAGCACATCAGCGCCTGCTTAGCTCTCAGCACGTCCTTACGCAATGGGCTCGAACTGCAGCAAGGAAGGTTGAGGTTGGACATTAGGAAAAACTTCTTACCTGTTAGGGTGGCGAAACACTGGAATGAGTTGCCTAGGGCGGTTGTGGGGTCTCTATCCCTGGAGATATCTAAGAGCAGGTTAGACAGACATCTATCAGGGATGGTGTAAACCAGCGGCTGTCTTGCTGAGTGGGTCGCAGTGCTGGGCCAGCTGCCATTTTGTTTTCCTGGAGTGGCAGGGGAGCAGATCAGCACTTTAAATTAAAGGGGCCACAACAATGTTCCCGGTGCCGGTTTTTTTTTTTTTCCCCCTCAACAAAAATTTTCCTGGCGAATGACAAAAAGGTTGAGCACCGCTGGTCTAGACAGTGCTGGTCCTGCCGTGAGGCCAGGGGACTGGACTTGGTGACCGGCTGACGTCCCTTCTGGTTCTAATATTGTCTGATTCTGTGATTTTGTGTCTGTTGACTTCAGCCTGTGATGAAGCGCTTTGGAGACAAGGGCTGGGATGAGTCACCTGTGTAAAACCACGCACATGCTTACGTGCCTGGCTGAATGCGGGGGAGGAAAAAACCTGACACAACAAATGGCCTGGCAGGAAAGGAAGCCGTGACCACTCCGCAGTGAGCACAGAGGTCTCTTACCCGGAGTGCCAGGAACCACACAGTGTCACGGTCGGATTTCCCCTGCAAGGTTCTTGCCTTTCGAAGAATCTGAAGCGATCGCCCTGGAATCCCCAGCAATGGACTGGCTGCTTCTCAGCTCCCTGCCAGCCTTCCACAGACCTGCCCCCCCCCCACACCCTCAGGCTATCATTTCCAGCCCCTGCCTTCCTTAGGCCGAGCGGGCGAGCGTATCCCTTATGAAAGCCAGATTGCGCTTGGCACTCGTGGCTGAAATGCTTGGCGGAAAACTTTACAACACCAGGCCATTAAATCACTCTGCGCCGCGGCAGGCAGAGGCACCGCGCTGTCAGGGCCCAAAGGCAGCGGGGATAGGGGGAGGCACCGGGCTGGCAACCGGCCACCAGCCTGGAGGCCATCTCTACTTTGCCTCCAAATTCCATTTGCCGCCACTTAGAGACTTGTAGTCCACGCTGCCTCTGGGGGTGGGTTGAGCAGCAATACGTGAAAGAGGCCGGCAGCCACCGAGCTCGTGGTGAGCAGGCTCACTAACTGCAGCAGGGGCAACGCGCGAGGGGAAAGGGTCACGCGCCCCTCCCCAAATGCCATGGCGGGGGGAGGGACGAGGGGCCAACAACCAGCAGGCCTCAGAGCTTCTCCTCTTCCAGCCACGCTGCCTGGCTGCGGCCCTCGCCCAGGCCACATCCAGCCCTGTTGCCATGGACACTGCTGACTGCAGTGGGATGGGAAAGGACCGGGATGGGGGGACCATATGGGCCCTGGGATAGAGGTGGGGCAGGGAGGAGTCACATGGGGTTGAGGAAGTCACATGGCCTCTTTTGATGGTGCCCCCCATTGTGTCTCTCCCCACCTCGGCCCACCAGTGTATGGTAAGCTTGCCTGGCCTCTGAGAGGGGCACTTCTACCCCGCCATTCTCAAGCCACCGTCCTCATCGCCATGGGAATCCCATTCGGAGTTCAGGGCTCCATGGTGCCAGGCCCTGTACATGAACGGGACTATGAGACAATCCTCTGCCCATAGAGCGAACAATCCAAGGGAGCATTACCCCTCTTTTCCTCAACCGGGGGGGGGACCATCGCAAGGTAGGAACTGAGCTGGCGTATTTTGAGTGCTAGGCTTTCCTACACGGCCTCCGAGCCAGCAATGACCTGACCCCTTCCCACCCACTTTCCGATTGTCTTAGAAACAAAAGCTTGGAACGTTGCTTTCTTTTTAAGCTTCCCTTTTTAATGGACCAGTCCACAGGCACTCCATCCCAGCCCCGCTTAATCAACTACAAAAATGTCATTTGGCAGCCACAACTGCTGGAAAGATTTTTGGTGTGATCAAAAGTCTATCCCTGGAGTGGGGGGGGGGGGGGGGGGGGCCGCGGGGACAACTTCAGCAGAGTTAGGTAGCTCTTTTCTAACACACAAAGAACCTTTTGTTTTATGAGCCTTTCACTTTGACATCACCTGGCTCAGATCCAGTCCTGGTTGCTGGCTGCTGAAAGTTGTCACCATTTGAGGGCTGTTTGGTGAAAGAAATTTGGTAGTTCCTAATGGACACGTGTCCACACTGAAAAAAAAAAATCACCAGCACAATTGACCCTGATTAATAAGCTTGTCAATTTCACACAGGAGGCTGTCTCGAGAGCTCAACGATAGTTAAAAGGGAGAGGGAAATATCTGTAATTTGCCCAGCAGGAGAGTTGGCATGCAGCCGAAGCAGGATTGATCAGCGTGTCTGAGAGCGAGATAGCATCATACAGCCAGTGTCGTAACACAGTAAATTGGCCAACCCTTTTACTGTGCTCCAAAGCGGGAACACATGTACAACACCACCGGTCTCGAGAGCTCAACGATAGTTAAAAGGGAGAGGGAAATATCTGTAATTTGCCCAGCAGGAGAGTTGGCATGCAGCCGAAGCAGGATTGATCAGCGTGTCTGAGAGCGAGATAGCATCATACAGCCAGTGTCGTAACACAGTAAATTGGCCAACCCTTTTACTGTGCTCCAAAGCGGGAACACATGTACAACACCACCGGGCCTCTCGCAGACAAGAAAACAAAACAATTGCCTTTGCGAGCAGGAAGGCACAAAGTCAGGCTGTAAACTTTGCATACTTGAGTCCACGCTCTGATTGGAGCAGATGTGCAGCGTGAATGTAACCTACTCAGCTCTTCAAAATGAGAGTCAGTGCCAAACAAAAATCAATATTAATTTTCCTCCCTCTTATACGCCAGCTAGATTTCTGTTCGCTCCCTGGTAGGGACATTATTATGTAATTGTGATGATGAATTGAAGAACTGTACAAATAATCAGAGTATTTTTTTTAAAATCTCTAATTAAAGAGCTATTTCTGTGAAATTCTTTGAAGATGGAAATTAAAAAAGAGTAAATTAGCTGAGCTAATAATGGCAGTGGGGCTTTTCTGCTTCACCTGATTCTGCAACAGAAATACTCATCTGAAACCTGTATCAGCAACCAGCAAACATCAGGAAATGCAAAGTCAGTGCATATATATAGAGACTTTAAGGACTTGCTTGATGGCTCCCGGAAAATGTGACGCACATTCCTGTTCCTTTTCAGGCTTTGTCCCCCAAAATCCCTACTTCGCCCATCACCAGTACTGCTTCAAAGACAGTGGCAATTCTAGCAAAGACCATCCAGCGGCCTTTTGGTCTAACCCCTGCTCTGAGCCTATCTGTTATTATTATCATCATGTTTGAACCAGGGCAACACAGAAGCCAGGTCTACACTAAAGAGGAAGGTCGAATCAAGATATGCAACTCCAGCTCCGTTAATTATATAGCTGGAGTCGATGGACGTTGATTCGAGTTTCCCCATCGTCCCCACAGCAGGAGGTGTCCCTTACTCCTCACAGGAGCAGGAGTGCTGGTCATAGGTGAGGGCACCCTCTGAATTTGATTTAGCGGGTCTTAACTAGACCCGCTAAAACGAATTCTGAAAGCTCGATCGCGGCCGTGTCAATTTTCCATTTAGCAAAAATGTGGCCTATGAGGGGGAACTCCCCCTGCCGCCCGTGCTAGGTACTACATGTTCTGAGAAATAATCCGTGCCCTAAAGACACAGTACTGTAAGTAGACAAGAGGTGGTAACACAAGGCACAGAGGTTGCAGGGCAGAGCTGGGATTAGAACTCACGGAGGTAGATGTTGGTGGTCATTGGCTGGCGCTATGAGATTTGACACCAGATGAGGCCCTGTCCCCAGCTCTCTTGTGGCCAACCCCACCGCCCTGTGCCCTTAACCAAACTGCCGCATTGGACAGCGAAAAGGCTAGCGACCACCTGCACCTCGTCTACGCTGGACGTCCTTGCTGTCATCAGTGGAGTAACACGAGGGAGAAGCAAAGCTAATGGCGATAAGGCCATTTCTCTTCCTGCTCCTGCTGCCACAGCCACCGCTGGAGCAGACCTGGGTCCAACTGGGTTTATCCCAGGGGATGCACACTCTGTCGTGCCCTTATTCTTTTTATCTGGAGCTACTCATGACGCCTTGCGTGAAAACGGGATCTTTGGATCAGACCTCCTCTGTAATCTGGAGACGATGACACCGACCTCTTTTTTAAAGCTCTAAGACTGGCAGATGAAAAGAGCCGGGGATTATTACAGCATCACCACATCAGAGAGATTAATATCTGGATACAGCTGCCTCCCGGGACACTTTCGATCAGTCACATAAGGAATTGCAACTCTGCCCCTTTTTAGCAAGTTTCCAGACAGCTACACACCAGATGTAGCACGCATTCCGACTTGCTGCAGTAGGTCAAGAAAGAAGGGGAAGACAGAGAAATTGACATATTGTTTCAGCGCAAAGAGAGCTTTAGAGAAAAATCGATATCCCTGTAATTAAGAATATTTCCTATGTAGCTAATAATTATCGACGACGGCTCTCTCCGTCACAGTCCATTTCCATGGCTCCCTTCCTCCACTAAATAAAGATGACACCTGTGTGTGTTATTTGTTGCTTTGTAATCTACTGTCCTAGAAATTATTGCAATTTGTTGGAAAAGATACAAGAGTGGGGCCACATGGCAGATAAAATTGGAGTAAGAAATTGTGCCTTCAGCAATTAACTGCAAGCAGCAATGAAATCTTCAGCTATATTGATTTTGATATAAACACTATTTTTAATTTTTTTCCCCTTCCATGCGGAATTGTCACTGTGGGAAGAATGGCATTAAACAATCTGGTACATTTTTATCAGCTAGGATCGTGGATTCTGACAGAATTTTGCCGACAGAAAGTGGAGGTGCAACTTTCCATTCGAAAAGGAAGTGTAAATTGAGGCAAAATGTAGGGGACAGGGAAAAAGGGGGGAAAAGTGATGCAAGGTGGTAAATACCTAGAAAAAGAGACGGTTTCATGAATCACAAGGAAAGGGGACACATCAGAGAATATGCTCCTCTTTTACGGAAGTATTAATTCAACAGTGGCATAGAATATTGTTCTCTGTGGAAGAAAAAGACACTGTTTCAAAATAGGCTATTTAAACAGTCCTCTAGGAAGGAAAGCAACTATACCCTTGGTAGGGAAAAATGACATAATTATAATTAAGTGCTTTCAGAAACAAGGCCTAA